ATCTCAAAGCTGATAGAAGAAAGGCTTACAGAAAAATTAGACGAGCATATTTCAAGTTAGAAAGGGAGATAAATTATTTAGGTTTATCCAGAAATATGGTACAAGGATAAATGGCAACATGTACACTAAATAGACTGAGGTTCATAATGCAACTTCATGTTCTCCTACCTGTATTCACATCCACAGGACTAATAAAAGGATGAAATGTGATTTTATTTACAATGATGAATAAATGTTTTGTTGAAGTAATTCAATGTAGTTTATTGAAATATACTGGCCAATATTATAGTACATACATAAATGTATAAAAATTAAAAAAAGTATTTTCACAAATAGCTGCAATAGTACAACAATGAGATTACTATGGTCTATATTTCTACATTATACTATACCGATAATCACAATATGTCAACAGTTTATTGTCATAGAAGACAAAAGTTCTAGATGAATGAAGTTAAAACCAAAGACTCACAAAAGAGAATGCCCTGTAAACTGTGCATGGAATCATATCATAACCCCTGCTTTAAGCTGTTGTCTACATTAGCAATTCAATTAAACTTTATTTTACATTTCAATGAAAATGACAGTAGAGCTGTGTGAATTTCATACATATATGCTTGGAGATTAAAAATGAAAGTCATGATTGAACTTGATGCCATAATATATATGTATATATTTGCTTTGTTGCTAATATATTTTATTGAAGTGTTCTGTCATAATACAAGAGTCAGGAGGGAAACACTAAGAATACATTATCAACCTCAGAGCAAACATGAAATGCTGAGAAATAAGACTGCCAGGACATCTTCATTAGGTATAGAACACAAATCACAGATTATTTTTATATGGTTGTAAAGTGAAATGGAAGAGTACATAGGTCCCATTTACAAAGCAAGATGGGTTTTGTATGTCCCATATTTCTGGATATTTGAATTGGAGAATCCACTTTCTAAAACTGTCAAATAACATAGGATAATGGTGAGGCACTTCCAAGTTTACCCAAGTCAATGGATACCCATTTTAAATGGTAATAATCACAGAAAAATAGGAAACTGTTCACAAATGAGTTTGAAGTTATTGGAATGCAGTTTAATATAAATGCTTAGCAATTTATGAGTACCCACATGATACAAATTGAAATGTTTAATATACAGTAAAACAATAAATGAGCAGATTGGTATCTAAAGAGCAATTACAATGGGAAAAATTATAATTTTGGAAATTGTTTAAAATAAAATAACATATAAAATTTTTATAGTATAATTTTGCATTATTTGTTTAATTATATTTTTCACTTGAGGTGATATTTAAATCAGAATCTGAGAAACAAATGATATATTTAAAATCAACTGTTTAATATTTATAAATATTACATTTAGATATTCATGTAATCCAAATATAAAGTTAACTGCCAGGTTTCAAATATGTCAATAAAATGGATTTAAAGACATAACTATGCTGTAAAATATCTTCTATCAAACATTTCAATTCAAAGACTTTTGATCCTCATTAGTTTTTGTAGTAATTTTTGCAAAATACTGCTTAGAAATAATTGAAAATGAATTTTCTTGTAATACCATTATCAATTTTATATTTCTTAAAAAGGAAAAAGAAAGTCACACAATAATTGTGAATGCAGGAGGGAAAAATGAAAAACAATGAAAATAATACACAATTAAAGATACTCAAATAATTACTGCTCTTATAAACATAAACATTAAGCGGTAACATATTTTTTAAAAGGGGACTTGCATAATGCAACAGGCTGAAAGTAAATACAAGTATCAATGGTTATTTTAAATGCATAGCACATATCACAATATTTTATTTTTGACTGTTACTGTTAAAACACAGTAAACAAATTACTACATGACTACATGAAAAGAAAACATAATATACAGAATAACCATCTTAAAATGTAGTTTTGAAATGATAACATAACAATTATAATAATAACTTTTGCACAATGTACAACATTTATGTGTCAATATTTAAACATTCAAATCAACTTTTTATTTCACATAGAATTGTTTAATAAGAAATATAAACAGGACAAAAGAAAATAAAAAGGATAAAAAAATTTAAAAAATGACATGCTTAACAAAATATAACTCTAAATACAAATTTATACAATGAGGATCAATCCTTGGAAGTTTTCACCCATTTGAACTCTTTCAGCATCTTACCAGAGATAACAATGTATCAGCTGAGCTAGGATACAAATCATATTAAAATCAAATCATTTTATTTCAACAGTAATTGAAATTTCAAATAATTACTTATAAATGATTTGGTTGGGATCTATCTCTAATTTAGATGTGGTTTGTTATCTTTTGTTGTAATTTCAGCTTGTATTACCAGATACATTGCTGTTCTCATTTTGAATGTTTTTACTTTTGTTTTGTTTTTTGAAATTTTTATGTTTTTTATTCGCAGTGAGACTTTGTAATAAATATGATTTATAGAAAATGTGAATATATGTACAGAGTAATTAATACAATGAGGGAACTTTTTCTCAGCATGCACATTGTTTCTTTGTTGGTTGGTTTTGCATTTTTTTTACAGACAGAATTCAGCAAATATATATATTTGAATTTTGCATTTCTTAAAATAATAAAATTTTTCCCATCCTCGGGAATATGTGCCTTTAGTCTGGTTTAATATACCAACCAAACTGCTTAAAAGTCTTGACCGGATTTCAAAATGAGGGTCTAAGACAGTAACAGATAAATGTAATTGAATATTAACATTTGAATCGGATAAGAAAAGTGCTGTTTACATTTCAGTTGTCTTTTTCGATTCTGCAATGATAATGTAGTTATCAATATAGTGGCACAGTATATAATTTATTCAATGGTTCTATTTACACAACACTTTTTGATTGATAATTATCCTTTGAAGCAGATTTATATGTTTAACCAATTTTTATTTTGTGTGCATGCAACAAATGGGAGGGATAAATATTTATATATTTATATATGTCAAAACGTGCACACACACATGCACTCTCACAATACAGTCGCACTCTACATCATACATTAGTACTTAGCGATATATAAAACATTTTTTATTATTTTGACTCTGTACCAACTTGAAATTAATAAACACACAATCAATCAATTCATATTGTTAAGGCAACTTTGTCACACGTTTATGGAGAGTGGAAAGAGGTTTGAAACCAACAGCAACAAGTACCCCTGGATTAAAGGTCCAGTTGGTTTTCATTTAATAATGTAAAGCAGAACCAAAGTGAAATGAGTTCAGTCTCCCAGACCTACACCCCCCACCCTTTGAAAATGTCTTAGGCCCTAACCCATGTCCATTGGCCCACAAGTTGGTTAAGATTGCATATTTTTCTTGAAATACAAGAACAGTATACTCCTGCTGCTTCTTTCTTCTACTTGTGGCTTCTTACTGTAATGTTTGTCTGGTTTCTTACTTAACTTCTACTGCTGAGAGTCAAACTACAAGCAAAAATTTTTGTTTTTGTGTACGAGTTACTTTCCTACTCATCGGTTGGCAGAAGTGAGCACCAATAAGATTTTTGCTTTTTTATTTCATGTGTCTTGCGATTTTTATTATATCACAGAAAAAACGTAAACGTAACTTTTTTAATAAATGAAACACAATCATCTTGTAAAGCACTTGAGGGGGAAGTAAGAGATTGCGTAGATGAAAAATTTCATACTTTTTGTGAAAAGAGTTTTGGACAAAGAGTTCATAAGGTTTTGCACCACTTGTGGTTAGGTTTTGAAAACATGGCAGTAAATACTTATATTCCACGGTGTGCTTGAACCGCGTCCCATTGTCTTTCACCAGGTCCTTCCAAAAGTTTATTGGTAGTGAGCGACTTTCCAATCAACACTAACAATTTTTCATGACTGGATATCACCAACACCTTGGAAGGGAATAGGCGGTGGTTTGGCTAGAGAGTGAGGGATTTAAAGGGTTATTACAGGAACTGGTCTTGAAAATGTTTCAGTAGAAGCTAACATGTGCATTCTGTCCAACAGTCTTCGTTGCTTCTGCACCAAGTCTAAAGAATATCTAAAAATAATTTGAATTATTTTAAACATTTAATTTGGAAATTATGATTCACATATTATTTACTTTTTGTTAATCTTGACAGTTGGTCTTTTGTTACAATCTGTTTTAATATTTATTGATATTGTCATAGTGTATAGCCAACTTCAACTGTTTTGCTGATATTAGAAGAAAAAAATTAAAAATGAATAAAAACACTAAAATTCTAAAAAGTCAATTTAAAAAAGGTAAATGAGAGTTAAGTCACATGCTAAAATACTAAACATTTTCAGAAAAGCATAAAACTGAAGAAAGTATGTCTCATTGAGTGGACATGTGCAGGAATTCCTGAGGTATATTTTTGATTAAACCAGTCCCTGAATGATTCCAATATATTGGTCTAGTTTTGTCACAAACCAATACAATGGAAATAATGATCTATCAGTCATAATGTGGATAAAGAGAGACCCTGTCACTTTAGGGAACAAAGCAAGGTAAGGAACATTTGCGGTGGGTTGGAACACTCTCTGCCTTTGTCCATCCAGCCTAAGTAAGGTCGGTCGCTAGCACCAATCATCATCATCTGAGTCGCTGTGCCTGGTCCTTCTCTGTTGTCCTGGTTTATAACCATTGGGGACGGGGGAAGGTAACAGCCGTCCACCTCGTCCCATTGCCACAGCCTGCTCAAAGCTTAAAGGACACGAGGCAGGAGGCGGGGGCTGCTGTTGTTGAGGTCCCATGGCCGGCATGGGACAATGTGTAGGTGATGCATTAAGCTTAGGGAAATTGATAGAAGCTGGCCGCAACTGCAGTGTTGATGGTTTACTTGGAGTGGGAGGTAGCCGCCTGCCTTGTCCTCGTCTCTGCACCAGCACTGGATAACTGTGCTGATGAGGGTGGTGATGGTGATGATGGTCATGATGGTGATGATGATCCCGTTGATGGTGATGATGATGAGGATATGGTAATGTTCCTCCTCGAAGTGGACCTGCAGAAGGCATAGTTCGACCTCCAAGAGGTGAAGGAGAGCGTGACCGTTGCTCAAGGCTCGTTGTGCCGTACTGGTGATGATGCCGAGGAGCGTAGTATCGGCCATGTGTGGGGCTTGGAGACCGCGCAGGGCTCGTCGAGGCTGACCACGATCCTGCACATAATGATACATCTGTGAATGCACAATAGGTTTTGACATATATCTACATTCAAGAAGCAGTGTATAATGAAAATTATTTCAAAAAGCTTTGTATGGAAATAATTTATACACCTACCTACCACAGTACTCATATTTGACCCAAATTTGCAGTTTCATTACAAATATAATTTTTATGTGATTTGTGTGAACAGCAGAGGTTATTTTGATCAATTGTTTCATTCAGTAGTATAATTCGTGTAAATCCTTTTCATTATATTGCTTTCATAATAAACTACTGGCATTTCAATACAAGACACTCAGAACACATTAAATGCATGCAGTTCTTTCCTCTAGGTTTCTCAGGAATAAATTTCAATGAATAAAACACAGATGAACTTGAATAATAATATCATATCAAAACATCTTAAAACATTTCAATTGAAAATGTGGTGTAGCGGTAGATAATTGTAACCCATGCAATTAACAATAAGTTTACTATTATGTTTATAAAATAATAAATATCAGTAAAATTATGATAAAAATCTTTTGTGGAATAAAAAAGGCTTTGCTGAGGAGATTAAAAATCTTTGCCATATACTTGAATAATTATATTAAGGCTAAACTCCAATTCTTGGACTTTTAAAATTTATTCATCAAAATGAAAACAGTGAAGGAATGCCATATGCTGTATGTGCCTTACATGGAAGAAAAAGTACATTGATGTAAATACAGTTAAATGTTTAATTGTATTTATCTTTGTCCTTCAATCATTTTTCTTTTTCTTGAAATACTGTTTTAACAAAATAATTTGAAAAGAAATATTATTCACTACCTATGTGAATTATTTGTTTCCTGTTTAACATACACCACTCTTCAAGAGAAACAATAAAAACCTAGGACATTGACTAAACTACTACAGGCCAAAAAAAGAAAGAGTGATTTTCACACATCTTTAACATTTGAGAAAATGAAAGGGAATGGATTAACAATAAGGAACTAAACATTAATTACTAAACTTGAAATGAAGTGGGAAATATTTTTAATTGGTGATTTACATTGAGAATTATATACCTAAAATTTAGACTTTTAATAGAATTCATAATTTACTTTTAAAAAATAAATTCTTTTTTGTGTTATAACATCCAAACAAATAACAATACAGAAGTATGTTAGGTCTTGTTTTGTTCTCTCCCAAAATTGTATTTTAATATACAGTTATTATATAAATGGAAAAATAAATATCACTGGGTATATAATCACTAACAAACACTAATTTTACTTGAATACACTACAACTGAACTAGTAATGGTGTCCCACTTTGTTTCTGTGTTAAACTGTTACTGCTACAGAATCAATGACCATGCAAATTATTATATCACAAGTTACTTATCTAGATTGCAATAGGAATGGTCAAAAACAAATCACTTTTAAAATCATAAATCATTACTCTACAATTTCTCATGAATTTACAAAAGATTCAAGTCTTACTACGAATCACATAAATGTTAATTTTTTAAAATACAAACAATACCAATGCTTGAAGCTATTATAAATTTATTTCATGGTGATAAAGAAAATCATATTTAACGTTTAGAAAATATAGTTATATTAAAATCAAAATTCATGAATTACTTTAAAACTAATTTACTCTAGAGTGGTTGAATATCAATCAAAATTTTCACATCTTAATTGTGGTACCACTTGTATATCATTGGTATGGTGTGCTTATCCTATATAAATGTTAGTTTACACAAAAATGGACTATTCTTATATTATTTCGTCAACAAATTAAAATTAACTGGCCAATATAAAACCAAATTAAGATAGAACCTGTCACACTGTATGTAGTATTCATTGCTCTCCTAAAAATGTGAAGCAGAGAAACCTGTTTCAGAAATGTTTTCAGAAAAAAATATTTTCTCATTTACTACTTATATAACTAAGTATATGAAGTACAAAGCATTTAATCCACAATTAGATAAGGTAAATAAAGTATGTTTCAAGATTCTCAGATCTATATTTATACTTTCAGAAAACAGCACCCTTTGATTGCCTGGAAATATAACCAGTGCACAATAGAACTCACAAATCTCAGGAAGCATCAGATAATGCTTACAAAATTTCCAATATGTTTGAATGTAAAAACAGTCTCTTTCCTCATTCTCACAAACTGGTGGACACTTCACTCTTTCTCAGATTCTGTTTATGTAAAGGCAATATTAATAAAGTTCACTGCCTCTAAATGTCTCTGACAAGTCATCAATTCCTGGGATTACAGATAATTTCATCTTGAAATTGAAAACGAGTTTAAGCTTTTTTTATTACTTCAGTATTGCCAGAACAAAAATAGCCAATTGCAACATTTTTGATTCACATTCTTATCATCACAAACATCCGATGAAATGTTGGTCAAATAAGAGCAAGCAAATTATTTGAGCAATGTACAATCAAATTACACTGTTTTTCTTAAATATTTTTTAGAACTTCTTGTACCATTTTGTAGTGTAATTTAAATTTTCACTGCAAAGATATTGAATTCTTTTCTATCAGGATATGGAATTTAGAGAGCCAATAAAAAAAGGTATGTTTAAATTTGGAATATATATTTTTAATTTTCTTTCTGACAAGAAAATGCAAAATTGAAATTTTGCTAAGCCTGGTAAACAATGTTTTGTAGCCTCCCCCCCCCCCATTACTTTCTTTTCTTGACAAAGAGAAAGTGGTGGAAAATAATTGGTTATAGATATTAAGGAAATAATGCAACAAGATATAGAGAGAAAATGCAAACAGCGCATAATCATGCTGCATACTCATAAAGAACAGTTATGAAGGCTACTCTTTATTTTTCGATCTTCACTCTCTTTCATCACTGCTAGGATATAATGATAAAAAACATTGAAATTAATCTGAGGTGATAAATTACCGAACAGATATTTGTAATGGCTCCAATGAATAACACATACATTTTCATTTTGGTCAATAATTATAACAGATAAATTAGCATGCTTATGTCAAATAATTTATTAATTCCCTAGTACAATAGTATCAAATGTGGAATTCTGGAATGCATTCCATCAATCAAGACACTGGATAATATTTGCTGTTGTTTAATACAGTACAATTGAAAAGAGAATGAAGAGAATGAATAAAACAACTAAGAAAATAAAGCAGCATTCTATGTAGCAAGATAAAATGGAGAAAAAAAGAGAAAAACAATAAAAGGAAATACAAGGACGATAATACATAAAACACTTATTAAGTGTAGGTCATAGATACTTTATCATACCATCTTCATCAGGATATTCTTGAAGCAAAGAGTGATGAACATGAGATTAATCTCAAATAAAAAGATTTTACAATTAAAAAGCAGCCTTTGAAAAAAAATGCCAATAAAACTTTACTAAGAGCATAATTGAGTAATGATAAACAAAGATTAATAATTAGGATTAGTGCATATTTCCTTTCATGAGCAGTTGTATATTTAATAAAAATAAATAGAATTTGTTGAATAATTTTTCAAAGGCTGTCCTACATAATATTGTGTGCAGATCACTGCAATAATATAAAAGTATTATTTAATGAAATAATTCCATATTAAGAAGCAAATGGTTCTTATAGGCAAATTGCAGCTTCAAAAACTATTGGTCTCCTGATTAATGAGAAAAAATATAAACTGAATTAATAGAATGTAAAACAAACAAACAAACACTAATTTTTTTCACATATTGCAATAAAGAAAAAAATATATTTAGCTCTACTATATCTTGATATAAATGTTTGCATAATGCTTCCACATGAACAATTGACAAATTATTGGGAAAAATTATTAAAATGTTCACGAAATATAGAACAGATATTTTGAATTTGACATTTTCCCTGTGCACAACATTATAGACATCAAAATGAAAAATTCATCTCTCTTCTGATATCTAGGAAAAAAATCTAATTGTGAAAACTGTAGACATCACTTTTGTACCCAGGAGTTTGGTGTGCCCAACAACAGAATTGAGTTCTTTTTCAAAGAGTTTCAAAGTCAATTCCCTGCATCATGACAGAGAGTTATTACATTTGCTAGTGAACATCACTAGCAAATGTAATAATGCATTAAGATGATGCATTGAGATTTGAAAATATGTGCCTAAGGTTTGGATTCAGAACAATTTGTAATATGAAAGTGCGATATAATTCTGAAGTTCAAGTAGCATTTCCTTCTTCATCATTTAATAAAATCCTAAATAAAAGAATGAACAAATTACATTTATTTATATTTTTATTGCAGCCAGTAATAACATGCATGCCATGGTTCTAACAATTGTAATATTCAAATAGTTGTCTGGAGAATAAGTCTTATAAATGTAGATTTTATTTCAGTTGCAAAGAATATTTTTCTACTTTCAATTGTAATGAAAGAATTTAGTAAATGCAAATACAAAAGTTTGATATTTCTGGCTTTTTCATATCAAAAGAAAAAAGAAAAATTTAATTCATAAAAATCACTGCAATTTGATATCCTCTCTCTCTCTCTCTATTAATATATATTTGTAAATAATATGCTAAGGAAAGGAGACCATTTTGTAACGTTAATAAGAAAATACTAACACAATATCCCATAAATATGCTTTTGCTAAATAGAGAATAACCCCCACGGATCTACATCAAACAGATTTAAGATGAAAAAATAGAAGTTTGCAGATTATGGTAAAGAGGAAAAGCAGGCACATATTCAAACTCATCGCACAACACCCTTACAGTTACACCTTTACAATTATGTATTACTCAGAAACAAAGATGATTTACAAAGCGTTGAATGTTCATACTAGACAAACCTTGTTGTTGTTTATTATCTATCTTTAAAATCAAATTGCAGAAAAATTAATTTTATTTAAACATGTTTTATGAATAATTGCTTTCAATTAGTAAAACATACAAATAACCAAACAGCAAATTATTTCTCTGCACTCATTTTCTCAATAATTTTCAGTTCAAACACTTAATTGACACAGAATTTCAGGTAA